TTCTCACTGGTCGAAATTCATATTATAATTGTTAGCCAAAGAGATTATAGTCAGATGGAACATCCGGTTTTGACATTCTGGAATATTATAAGTCTTTCCTAGCATACACATGTCTAATATAAGCGATTAACTGTAAGCGATCGCGCGATGCGTTCCTTTCGGAAGGCGGCCCTCGAAAAGAAACACGGACTCGGGACGTGTTCCACGGGTGTCTCCTAAATCGGAATCAACATCGGGGACAATCGGCGGCAAGCTGACTCCAGATACGTGTGCGTTGCAGAACAGTCACGACCGGGAGACATGCGCGAGAAGCCTGCGGGCCACCCAGGAGTCCCGTCCGTCACCGGGCGCGTTTCCACCCCCAGCCCCCAGTATCGGGATGCAACAGCCGCTATTGCTGCAGCCGCAGCAATCGCAAGCACAACAACGAGAGCAACAACTCGCATCGCAACAGCGTTGCTGTATGCCCGGTATGCCGATGAACCAAATGGTCGCGAGCAACGTCAGCGTCGGACGTCCTCATCGACCGGCGTCGTTGGACATCGGTATGAGCCGTCGCTACCCTCTCATAGGCTGCACCCGCACCGCTGCCGCCGTCGCCGTCGCAGCTGCGACGCCGGCGTCGTCCAGCGGCGTCGCCACTCCCTCGTCTGCGCCGGCTGTCTGCACGTCGCGCGGTTTCTTCGACGATGGTTGTTGCACCGTCAATAGTAACAGCAACGGCAGCAATGCGCCACCCGGCTTCGAGCTCAACGTCAACGTCGCCTGCAGCCCCGCGGGCAATCGCGGTACGGAAGACGGACGTTGTCTCCTTGCTGGAATTGATATTGTATTTGCACTATTTAACGCTGAACATTCCGAATTGTAAAGATTGTGCATTGAAAAAAAAATTATTAAATCTTAATAAATCGTTTGAATAGTGTTAACTAAATATTTACTAAATATAAAGATATATTTATTTTGTACAAGAACCATTCATTTGATTTAATTATCATTTCTTTTATTGAATAAATATTAGTTGAATAAATATTTATTTACCATAAATAAATATTAGTTGGCACTGTTCAAATAAATATTTAAAATTTAATATATTTTTAGTGTGCGTAATATTTTAGTAAAAAGCATGGATATTAAAGGAGACTTATTAGAATTGATAATAAAGTAAATTGTTGTTTTTCGGAAAGAAGACAGGAAATTTGTAATATAAACTGCTTACAATAATTATATATTAATGAGCGTTAAATATGTGATACGATCCAGCAGCGTACTAAGAATTAGATTACAACAGCAATAGACTAAGAATTAAATTACAATAGTATCAAATTAAAAGAGATTGCGGAATGATAATATTTTGCTGACGACTATAGGAAGAGGTAGAAGGACAGGATGCAAAAGAATAATTGCAAGCGAAAGCGGATTGTATAGCAACGCGATACGCTCTTCTTGAATCTTGATTTCTTGCGGCATGCTTGTTTATTACAGATATTATTAGAGACAATTCATTTTAATCGCGCTCATAAGCTTCTGTCGTAATCGCTGTTCAGATGGACCAGTTCGCAAATTAATTGACCTCGATTGTATACCGTCGACTTCTTTTGATTTGTTTCAATTGTCTAAAATTATCCACGAGATTTGGCGAAAAATGTATTTCTTTTTAAAAGAATGATTGTCTAATCGTGATTTTATATCAGCAGATTTTCGAACGGCACCGACGATCGGTGTCGGTAAACGAAACGATCTTGTCGTCGTGCCACGGCCTCATTATGCCGAGCCTCTGTTAGCCATCGGGAAGTCCGAGACGCAAATCGATCATACGCGAAGTTATACGTCGGTCAGTTTGACCCTCCGGCCACCCTCCTCTGAGCCGCAACCTCCAATCGATATCAGGTCGGAAGGATCGAGTCTGACCTACTCGACCTCGTCCTTGGATCCACGTGGCTTTCAGAGCCGTCTGCAGATCAGCATTGGTCCTGGAAACGTCGGTAGTGTGGCGGCGGCGAGGATCAGACCACCTATGGCTAAGCCGTTTATACCGCCGCCGTGGGCTCAAAACCCACTACGGTCGCCTGGTACGTTCTTAACTTAAAACACTTCAATTCAATCCAGACTTAATTTGGAGGCAAGAATTTCATTCGTATTTTAAAAAAGAAGTTTTATTGAGAAAGAAATATTATATTATATATAAATATAAAATGTTATATCATAAACTTTGAATATAAAATATATTATATAAAAAATGAACATTATTAAAGTTATATAATATTTATGTAGATTCTGTGATGAAAACACGAAACGTAAGCGTACATACACGAAGTGTTTTCAGACGTCTGATTCTAATTTTAGTAAAATTACAGTTCAACAAAATTAAGAATAAAATCATATTATAAAAATATAAATCTTTAACTCTAGTTAGAGAATTTTTTTATTAAAATTGACACGAGATACGGGTTTATTTAATACAGATTTGCTATATCGTTTTCAGAACTTTCTCTAGAACCGCCTAACCAATTGCCAAGGCCTACGACGACGATGAGCGCACCGACTACTCCCTCCATACCGCCGACAACGAATATTATCCCGGGTTGCAGCCTTCCCACAACACCATCCGGACCCACAACGAGCAGCGGCGTCGGGCCTCTTAACGCCGTCTCTTCCTCCCTCGGGGACCACATGGCTTCCGATCGGAATCGATCGCCGTTGTGCCAAGGTGAACCTACGGATCAGAACAGAATGACATCGTCGTCGGCGCGCGTCCTCGTCGCCGCTTTCGCCAGCGCTGCAGAATCGCGCGCACGTGTATATTTACCTGGAAGTCACTCGGTCGCACGTACTACGCCCACGCATGCAACGCCGGGAACGATATTTACGCATTCCTGACCCCACGCTCCGGGCTATACATAGCCCGCGCGCGCTCGCGGTTACAACTACGCGGACCACCTGATCCGGTTTTTCTGATCGTGAGAGTCCGACGCGTTCCCTGGGCCATTACATTAAATGCCATATACGTGAACTTTTCGTTTTTTTTTTTTTTTAATTAAGAATTAAGATTAAGAAGCACGATAATGCTGCAGACACAATACGGAGAGCGCGACTGTCAATCTATGATGCAGATGCGATAGCTGATGAAATTGTATATCTAATCCGTTGTCATCGTGATCGATAAAGTACTAATGAGACGAGGCGATATGTAATCAAATTTATGAGTGGTCATTCGTGACAAAGTAGAATTAGAAAATGATTGAAGTAAAATCTGGAATTATTTGACTTGTTTGATTGATGTACATGCTAATTAAAATAGTCTTTGGAATTTTTAGTGGAGGAGCACCAAAAGAAATTAGTCGCGGAGCAACTGGCTAGGAAGGAGAGGCTCGCCAAGGAGCTCAGGGCTGAGAAGGGACGACTCGAAGCGATGAAGAAGGAAGTGCAGGCATTAACCCGACCGGATCCCTTGATATCACCTCAAGTACGTACAATTGCAAACGATAATCGATCATTTTTTATGCATTTTCTCTTTTTTTTTTATTTTCAATGCGCGATTTTTCCAGGAGCTAAAAAGAAAACTGAAGACCGAAATATATATGCTACAGGTCGAGTGCGACAGATTGGCCATAGAAGTCGATCAATGGTCAGACAGACGAGGTATCTATTTCCTATCACGTTATTGTGTACATACAAAGTTTAGTAGAACTCGTGGCGAATAACTTGTATTTTCCAGTACCATTGGGCGAAACGAATGAGGAGTTTTATCAGGGCATTTATACTGGCCAGTCGTTGCCGACAAGACCGTCGAATCTACAACCACCGCGTTTACCGAGTCAACCACCGGCATGGCGATCGGAACAGCCGGCGAATGACAACGACCGGGAGGAACGGGATGAGCCTTCGTGGGTCTGCACAATGTGCACTTTCGATAATCATCCATTGATGAACAAGTGTGAGGAGTGCGACATGCCGAGACTGTTGAACCGCAGCAGTGCAGGTATAAGTTCCGGCAAACCGACGAGGAAGTTGCCGTCGACCTCATTGTCATCGTAGTGATAGTGAAACCGTCCTGAACGTTATTCCAACCATATGAAATAAAATAACTTGTCGCCTAACAGCATGCCGACTTTTTGTATATCCTTTGTGGAAACTCGTGAAGATCGTCTCCTGCGATCGATTACACTAATCGATTAGATTTTGAGAATATTATGAAGCGCTAAAATGAAAGTGATATATTTTTTATTCTATTATATTTAAAAAAAAACTTTAACAAAGTGTGAGCATATGCTATTATAACTATGTTATAAAAACTGTGTACTTAATTATAATTAGTTACATTAATCATGTTAATAAAACATAATAAAAGAGAAGAGAGTTGCTCTGTTCTCGTTTGTTTGTTTAAGATATGTGTGTGTGTGTGTGTATTTGCTGATTTTAATCGCTCTTATTTGTATAAATTAACATTTACAACTTACATTTTTTTAATATGTTTTTAAGCTATTAACAACATTGATATCGCATTGATATATATATATTTTTCGACGAAATACATCTTTAAGTCTAATTTGAGGTAAGGAAAGAAATTTATGCATAGTGAATTATACGTAATATTGTTTTACTTAATTTTGCAACAATGTTTATAGTCTGACATTTTCAGGGGAGACGCAAGATATTCATATACGAGTAACTCATCATCATAATTTTTCGCCACGGCGTAAGTATTTCATATTGATACTTTCAATCAAACGAGATTAATATTTTGCAAATGTAATAGTTATTTACACTGCAAAAATAAATATTACTTTTCCAGATATAGTACACAGTTGGGTGGTATGATGCGAACTGAATTAGAAGTTTATAAAAAACTGTACATACGTATAAAAAAATTAAATTAAATAAATTTTGTAGGGGCTAAGCGATTGTAATAGAACACATATGATGACTAATGTAATAATTTAATTTAATTTTTTATTTATGATTAGTATACATCACGAATTATTAGAATCATTAAATAGTTTATCCCGGTTTTTTGGCGATTTATGTCTTTTCGAAGCAATTTCTACGCATCTTTAGAATTTCGTACATAGCAGAATAATTATAGATGCATCGCCAATAAGAGCAAAAGGTACATTCGATTAAATATCATAAAATTCTTTTCTCCAGATTTTTATTTGTATAAAAAGTCATCATATAATACATAAAATACAAGTATTTGTGATAATTACATCAATGGTTTTTCCTTATATAGCCGTACCCCTCTCCAAATTTAATTTCGTTTCCCGAGTATACTCGCCGTAGAATCTCTCCAGTTTCTGATTGAATCTGGCGTTACGTTCGTTGATATAATCAATATCCGCGTCATCATTATGCATTCTACGCCTGCTGTATTTCTCCCGTTTTGCAATCCTGCAAAAAGAAAAACAAAGTAATTTCATCAAATTCGAGACTTATAAAGCTTATAAAATTTCAGGCCTATAAATGTTACTTACTGCTTCTCTAGATTGGTGACCATTTTATCTATCGCTTCTTTTTTGTCTTCGTGTAAACCGTGTAATATTGTATTTGGATCACCATAAAAAGCAGGGCCTAATTTTTCCTTTGCTTCTTCATATGTTTCCATATTCGGTTTAATATTTTTCACCAGTCTGTTATAAGAACGTATCGCTGCTTGTTCGTAATCTGAAAAACCTGGATCGGGATTCTGTTTGCTTTTCTTCTTTCTAGCTATTCTTTCTGCTTCAGTAGCATCAATGTTCAATAATTTTTTCCGTTCATAGTCTTCACCCTGAAGAATAAGTTAAATAGATAAATAATTTTGTATAATTTGTCAAAAATAAAAAATCTGATTAATCATGATACCTTAGCTTCTGCCTCATTTCTAGCAGCTTCGTCTTGCATTATCCATTCGGCCTGTCTTTTGCGGGCTTCCCAATTGGTAGGCAACTTGTTCCTCTTGTCTTCCTCCACCACTTCCTTGTGATTCTGCATTCTAGCCTCATTCTGTTAAATCAATACGCTATAGACAAATCATGACGATAAATTCCAATAACAAGAACTCTTAATTAATACTAAAAAAAAAACAATATTATTCATAAATAAATAAAAAGAAATGTCAATAAATAAAAGAAAGAAATAAGCAGTTTAAAACGTCGGAATGAACAAAATGTCTCAGACAGGTTACATTTACATTCTAATGCAAACTTCTCTTACCCTCTTGGTGTGGAGTTCTTTAAGTCGTTTCAGCATTTCCCCATATTTCGCCGTCGCGGATTGTGAGGACGATGCACTCGACGCTGCTTCGTCCATCGTTGATTGGAATAAGACACAATTTTCCAAACTCAAGCCGAACGTCAACACCAATCAACACAATAAATGGCGACTTGACAAAATCAGAAAGAGAAGAAAACCACTTGCGTTTTCGTGGTGAAACGCCATCTACGTTCCTAAAATGCAGATGTAGAACTATGTACACGTTTATCTTCTATGAAATCGACCGTTGATAAATAAATGGCATAAATTATCGACTGCACGCACGTAATAATCTAATCAGATATGAAGTCGATAATTTTCTCATAGGGTAAAAAGTTAGTTTAACGACTCTGATTCATCCTGTACATGTATAGTACCGCAGAGAGAAACTTGAGAAAGAACAAGGATCTTTTTCTTGTAATCACAAAATGTCTCCGCATATTACTACCCTCTGAGGAACATGGGCGTAAACTACACCAAAATATCTTTTTTTTTTTATGCTTCTGATGAATTATTTTCATCATTGAAATGGTTGAAGTTAGTCTTTATCAATCTGATAAATTTATTTCAACGATTTCAGTGATTTACTTCCAGGAGCATCTGATTTATTTCCATAAGGAGCATGCAAAATTGTTATAAATATACCACTTTACAAATTATACTTGCAAAAGATGTCAAAATATACGTAAAAATCGTTTAATAATTTTTATATACTTGTAAAAATGATGAAAATTAATCCAAAACATAATCGTGTATATGTATATAATAAGAATACTCAAAGTGTGTACTAAGGGTTAAATAAAATTATTTAAAATAAATATATTTTAAATAAAAAATATAAAAGAGTTATTTAGTATTTATTTATTATTTTAAATACTTAAGGTTGTCTGAATTACTCTCATTTTTTGCAACTTACTGGTCAAGGCAATTAATTATTTCAAGAAATAGTTGTACATTATTGGTTGCATCTTTTTTTGTTATGTTGCCTTGTATGAAGCATTGAATATATATAGACAATGAGTAAAAGATTTCACAAATTCTTGAAAGTTTTAAATTTACTGCCACGTAGAGTAATATGCCTATCAACGTCTGTATAATAGATGAGCTTCAGTTCGCTAATTTTACTTGGCTGCAAAAAGTATAAAAATATATACGTTACTGATTAATCGACCAAAATGTAATCTGATTTGATATATTTTATATAATAAAATATAACACGATAATGTTATATTTAATATTTATTCTTATTATGATTCTTTTAAATAATCTGACGGAAAAAAAATAGAGAGAAAAATTTACAGAAAAACTACATAAATTGAGACAAGATCTTAGACATTTTTAATTTTTCGTAGATATTCATAATGTTACTACGAATATCTATGAAAAATTAATGATTTCTAAAATGTTTTAATCTATATAGTTTTCGTAAAAATTTTTTCGCCAGAATATGTAAGAATTTTTTAATTGTTTTGGGTAGAGGAAGATATCGATACTGACATAACACTTCGTTTTTGAACAATATTTCTCAAACTGAAATCAGAAATAAAACTTGAGAAATATAAATACAACCTATAAAGTATCATCTATCAAATAACAAAGAAATTTTTATAATTTTGTATGCAATTTTGCAATAATTAACTTCTTTGTAACGTAAGTAAAAATGAGCGTCTGACAAAATGAAATTGACACAATAGACAATAATGCTATTCCTACCTTTTTTTTTCATATAAGTCATCTGTATAAAATACCTATAAATGAATGTGCACATCTAAGTTTTTCAAGAACCTTCTTACTTTAATATAAAATTTTTTTTGTTGATTTATATGTATATTGATGCCGTTTTTGTAACACGCAAATTTGTAAAATAGTTTTCTTTTGTAAAAGTCTTCCTATTAAATACACGATGGTTTTCAGCTTAATAAACCTTTTTAGACATTATAACGTAATAATAACATTACAAAGATTAAGTTAATTTATGACTTGTCTTACAGACAGGTATGCTGGTTTATGCTGCACACCGATTTTACATTTAAGAATTTTTGTCCGCTATGGACAAAAATATGACAAATGGAACTTAAAAATTATAAATGAAACTTATTTAGAAAATTACAAACATGTAATATTATGAATATAATATAATTATTATTTAAACTACGCAATTTATAATATCAGTTCAATTTAATGATGATAATTGTTATCTAAACATGTGAAAGAGATTTTATGTAAGATTCACGCTAATAATTTGAATCCAATTTGAACTATTAATCGACCGAGATTGAAAGGAGTGCTCCAGTTTTTGGATGTTGAAAATGAATTTATGTTTTCACAGTATTCCATTATAATTTTGAGACTTTAGCAATTAAAGGTGTAAAAAAAGTTATTTTTATGTATTTATCATACTCAAACTGTATAATGTATGATGTCTTAAAAAAGTTTTATTATAATAAAAAGTATGTTATATTATTATGACCTTCAGCCTTCAAAGAATTTTTTACACAAATTATTAAATCTACGGTGCGATATAATAAGTTCTTCATTTGTTCTGTAATTATTAATAATTATACGAAAAATTATGAGATTCTCTTATAATTTTCTTTTTGTGGATACGTTTCTAACATAAGAGAGGGGATTTGTTACATTCGATTCTTTTCGCTATTTACTCTTACTCTATTATATTATCAACGTGGAAGCGGACCACACTTACATGTCTAAATTTGCTCTTTCTTATTTTTATCTGTAATTTTCTATTTCAACTTTACTTTTGTATTTTTAATTTACTTTCACGTAATCTCAAATTTAATAATTTTATTGTTTCTTGTAACGTACACATTTTAGCAGATTAAGTTAATATCATCTGATTCTAAAATATTTGCAACTACTCATTGCCAATTGATATATTAGTTCTTCCGTTAATTTAATTATCTTAAATAAAAGAACGAATCGCTCGAAATGATACCAAGTATCGTCACTGAATGATACCTAAACGTCCTTAAATCAAAGGTCGAAATGTACGCGTTCTTTTATTTTTAAATTAAATTTATAATAGAAAGATATTATTTCACATTTCAACTACGTTGGCTCTTCCGTATGCAATTCAATTTTATTTTAGATACATTACTTTAAATACAAAGCGCCACTCTGAATGTTAAGGTGTTGAACTATTACATATAATCATTTAAATGAATTAATTTCAGAAATTATAATTGTATGTCAATATGGTTATCAGATTTTAATTTAATTTTACTGATTTATTATATTAAAGCTTAATAGTTCTCAGTTTATTTAAATATTCCATATTGCAACGTGCAAAGTGTTCTTAACGATATTAAGCATTATAATAATATATCTTATAAAAAGGAAAAAAATTGGGACAATAAATACGAAGGATTGGAAAGCTAATTAAAGAGCCTCTTTATATTATTCGTTATTATTACATGAGGATTTGGTATTAAATTGTGCATATAATAAATGAAAGAATTATTATTACAATGCAGTTATAATTAATAATGATCAGGGAATGATCATGTCTCAACGCTAAAGAAAATGAGCAGATTAAAGCCGTTTTTTAATGTTTTATAATTAGCGTTTTATATCCATTATATTATTATAGTAGCATCTTATCTGTATATATATAATTTTGAGAGACTCCCTCGCTCACTGGATAAATGTAGAGTTTTTTTTTGTAATCTTCCACGGACTGATCGTGCTGCTGATCGTTGATCATGCAATTCAAAGCAAAGTACCGTAATTTCTTTGCTTTATCTATAACAATTAATTATTAAAATTTTAATTGTTTTAGCAATTTTAAGTTTAGCAATTTAAAAACAAAAAATAAAGGCAAAAATAATGTCATAATATCAGATAATAAATATATATCGATAAAATTTTATCAAGACATAAAAAAAGTTATCTACTCACTACTTGCTTCATTGACTTCTTCTTTCTTCGGAACAGTACCTACCATTTGTATGCTCAATTTTCTAAAATTTTTTCCATTTAGTGTGTGCTCTTCAAACCATTTTCTTATCTCATCGATTTTTATGTCTTCTAGTGCAAGTTTTTTCTTCTCAAATCTATTAAACATATATTCAAACTTTATGATTTCATTCCAGTTTCTGGCAACTTCACAGTATATATCCCAATTTTTCTTTATTGATTCCTTATAATTATCAAATTTCTCTTCTGCCATCTCATTCAAAATCTTTTTAAATGATGTGAGATATTTCTCTATACTTTGATCCATGTACTCGATTGTATATTTATCTGCCTGAGTACAAATGGTAATAAAATATCCTAATATTCCATTAACATTTTCAATGTCGCATAACATATATTCAAACTCTACATCAGCTAGCTCAGCATATAAAGAATCTTTTATTATGTACTGAAAAAAAGGAAAAAACACTTTATATCAAAGTTATTCGCATATTTCATTCTCTTTTAAATATGAACGTAAATCAGTGATTACGTGTATTCAAAATAGTCCAAACAATATTACTTACGACTACCAGTTCGATTAATACCGATAATTTAATCGACATAACATCAGCTTGATAATAATTTGTCACTACCGATTTTGAATCAGATTTATTGATAATTTTCAGCTTGCAATAGCTTGTGCCCAAGGGTATCTGAGTCACTCTCATTTGTAGCAACGTATTATTTGTCAACGGATAGCATTTAATTCTTTCGAGAAATTGCCTTACATTCCTGATTGCAGCATTTTCCGTCATGTTGCCTTGTATGAGACACTGAATGTATAGAGTTCGAGTAAAAGATTTCACAAAGTCTTTAAATTCTTTGAATTTAATTTGATATAGAGCAGTGTGCTTATCAACGTGCGAATACTGGATGAGCTTAAGTATCGTTAATTTTACTTGGCTGCAAAAAAAATACAAATACATACGTTATTAATTAATCGATCCAAATGTAATGATTTAATATATTTTACGATATTGTTATATTTAATATTTATTTATTCTTATTAATTATTTTTTTATGTAAGAATTTTTTAATTGTTTCAAACAGAAGAAGGTACCGATACCGGCATAATACTTTGTTTTTGAGTATTTTTTCTCAAACAGAAATCAGAAATAAAACTTGAGAAACATAAATACAACTATGAAGTATCTTCAAATAACATAGAAGTTTTTACAATTCTGTTTGCAATTTTGCTATAATTAACTTTTTATTAAAGTAAACAAAAATAAGCGTTTGACAAAATGGGTCCCGGAACTGACACAATAGACAATAATACTATGTATTCCTATCCTTTTTTTTTTCATACAAGTCATTTATACAAAATACCTATGAATGTGCATATATACGTTTTTCTAGAATCTTTTCTACTTTAGTACTTTCTACTTTTCTATTTTATAAAATTTTTTTTTGTTGATTTATATGTATATTTTATGCTGTTCTGTAAAACGCAAATATAAAACGCGCTGTTTCCTTTTTGCAAAAAGTCTTCCTATTATACGATGACTTTCAGCTCAATAGATCTATTTGACACTATAACGTAACAATGTAAAGATTAAGAATTACCTTATGGTCTGTCTTACAGATGTGCTAATTTATGCTGTACACTAATTTTATATTTAAAAACCATGCTTTAGAAAAAAAATATGACAGAGGAAAATATAAATAAAATTTATTTAGGAAGTCACAGACATGTAATATTATAAATATAATATAACGACTATTATTTAAACTACGCAATTTACAAAGGAAGGTGGCAAAAATTTTATTTTCGCACTTGTAACATTCGTTTTTAATTAATTTTGAATACAAACAATTTCCGAGATAGGGATCTCTCTAAGAGACCGATGTCAGTAACTTTCTCCTATTATGTTATTTTATAATTGTTGTAATTATGCCGATAATAAATAGCCAATACCTGACAAGTTTCACAGGATCTGTAAATACGTCATAATACATCTTGAGTCGTCGCACTCTAATAATTTCAAATAACTCTTTCATAAAAATGAGAGATGGATTGATCATATATTCCGCAATAATCTTCAACAAGAGCTGTAATACAAGCATTTACATACACACACACACACACACACACACGCGCGCGCGCGCGCGCGCGCGCATGTACAATAATATATCTTAATATGTACTCCACCGTTTTGAACATATACTTACTGGCATTTTTTCGTTAAATCCGTATATTTTTATTGTAATACCCTTCTCAGTGGAACTAATCTCACAATCAATCCCCGCTGCTTTGGCTGGATATAATTCTTCGTCGAATAGAAACGATAATATATCACAGTACACATCCATTAGAGCTGCACTGATATTTCATTAATATTAATGTGTTTAAAAATTAAATATAAATAATTATATAAAAATCATAGTGTTCGTATAAGCTAAAAAATTATTGTATAATGTTATAATAGTACAATATAGTAATCTATTACAATGTTACGCTTTTTATGCTTACTTCCTTGGCGACAAAAGTCCCATAGAGGGAACAAAATGGAAATACATATAGCATTTTGGCAAACAAATCTTGGAATACGGATGATACCAAAGCTCCATCATACCACTACTTAATAATTTTACAGGATATTTTGGAACTTTTGCTGGTATTGGTATTAAAGAGAAATCGCTAGGAAGGAATATATTTGGCAATGGTAAATGAAAATCTTGTAAAGGTTTAATTGATTTCCAGCGTTCGATACATTCTCTTGATATATTGATGTTTGTATACTCTGCTTCCGACCATTTTTCGACTTTATTTAATTTAAGATCAAAATCTTTATGGTAAAAAATCATAATATTCACAGTCTCTGACGTCAAATAATTTAAACATTTTTGTATATCTGTTGCATTGTATTCGAAATAAAGCTTATTTCCGGTTATATAATTGCGCGACGGATAGATATGCATACTTCTAGACAAATGTATTACATCAAACTGTGTATTATCTTCAGCGGAAAATCTAAAATGATTCCCAAATATAAGCATTCATATATCCATTTTCTCTTTCTCAATTATTCTTCATATATCTAGATATTTCTAAAATTAGTCTATCTAAGATTTAATATTGTTTACCTAAAATCATTTTCCGTAATCTTATAAATCTCATCGTAAATTCTTTTCTGCGGACCTTCTTTTTTTAATAAATTGATAAAGGAAAAGATCGTATTTAAGAATTCCTCTAGATATTGTAATTTCTCATAGAAGAAAACCGTAAGATTTAGTAATGTATACATGGAGGTTTGCATAAAACTGCTTTCATTGTTACATGTTATTTCGCAATTCCATTTTTTGCGTAGATAACTAGTTAAAGAACCTTTTCCTTTATGCTCAATAATCCATGAAATATATTGATGTGGTTTACTTTTGTAGAAATCGACAAGCGAGGGCATTGGCCACGTTATTTCCAACTACAAGAGACAATTTTTACTTTACAGATATTTCTATGAATTTATTTAGTATAATATTTTTATATTTTGAAATTCAGTTTTGTTCACATACTCGGTTGAAATTATGGATATTGCTAATTTTATACATATTTTGGAAAGCTGGAGTAGCAAAAGAAATACCATCTTTAAATTTGATAAAGTCGTCGGGAGGCAGCCCATTATTTGGTACGTTAAAAAAGCACTTAGTGACATTATTTTCCAATGTATCCAGTGGTAATTTTGCCTTTAGAAAACGTATTATATATTATGACTTAAATATATTGACTTAAATATATTAATATTCTATGATTCTTGTCACAATTTAAATGATTACCTGTACAACAAATTTTATTCTGTGAGCACTGTAATGGCGTGTCTTGAATTTAACGATTTCTTCGTACAATATGTTGTCATCTATACTATCGTATAATTTTATAAAATTGTCTTTAGGAAACTTGCTAGGTGGATGAACTGGCAGCGCAAAAGAAGAGAACAATTGTTCTATTCTGTTCCTATAAGCTGATGAAGCAACTCGTAGCTCTAAAAATCGCATGTAAGTATAATGTAAGTACATAAACAATAGCATATAAATATATCATTATGTGAATTTATAAATTGTTTGTAAATTGGCATCACAATTCTGAATTATGTATACCTGCTTCTGCCTCCGCTCGCCATTGTTTAAAGTTATCTTTCTTTAAAGGTTTAATTAAAATTGCAGCCAAATGATCAAGAGCTGATAACAAATACTTGTTTTTTATTTGAAAATAAAATATTGTATTCTCGCATTCCGTTGAGACATAAATCAAGCTATCATACTTTCTAGTAAATGCATTAAAATTATTATCAGAATTACTATTCTGCAAATAAGATAATACTTATACACACTACAATACAACAATAAATGAATTTTATGGAATCATATGTTATATGATAATACTTCTGAATAATTTTCGGATCCCGTATAATTTAATAATTTCTCAAAGTAATATGCTATGCCTGGATTTATAAATGAACTGCTGAAACAACCTGCCCCCACACATAAGCTACAGTATGCCTGTTTAAAAATACATATCGTTATATAAAATGGAGGAATAAGTACATCAATGGAATAATCCGTAATCATAATTTCAATTGTATTTCGAAATGAATCTATTGAAACTCTTCTGCGTATAGCTTAGGAAACTAAATTTTAAACATTTTTAAATTTCTCATAAATGAAATTTCTCATAATACTCTTAGATTTTAAGAAAAAAGATACTTTTCATGATTCTATAGGTCTAACTTCACTATTATAATTCTAATGAATTTTTATGAATTTTATTTTAACAGATCAAAAATAAAAGGAAAACTTATGCTTGATATGGATAAATCTTAAAATAAACTATAGATTGTCTTGTTTGTACTATTTCTTCATCTTTTTCATCTGGATCTTGGGAAGCACGTGTTTTTGAATGTTCATTGGATATTAGCAACGCTGTGAAACCATTCGGTAATTGGATGACTCTAAATTTAAAAGATAAAATAAATAATAAAAAATTAAAACTTTAACGGAGAAATTTTCTTATAAAAAAAATCTAATTCTTCCTTTCTTATAAAAGATGCATTGTAACGTTTTTGAAAGTTTGCCATATTAATATTTCTTACGTATTTCCATCGAAATCAAATCGCTGAATATTTGTTCTCATCTCACCTATATCCTTTTTTGTCGTTTTCCGATTTGACGGGTGGCTCTAAATATTCAACTCGATTTCGCTTTTCGTTTTCAACTGTAAACTCCATCTCTGACATTACGTTAATGTGCAGAAAATCAGAATGAAAACTAAGTCGATCGGTAGAGTGTAAATCCGAAAAGAAAGAAGGAAAAGATCTTGCGTTTTTTATTCCTTTTTAATAAACTTAGCACAGTATTATAATCGATATTTTAAAAGATACCTTTTCCTTGCTTTGTGGCACTCGAATAAAGATCAATATATCTTATATGTATGTATTGTAAGCAAAAAAAGTGTAGGAAATAAAAGCAATGTCGTCGGTCGTACATGTTTACTTATTTAATTGTGATATTTACCCTGCGCTGTATAGCCAATATTAATAGAGAAATTTGATTTTTAAAATTGTCTCAAGTATAATTTCTCAAAATGTCTCATAAACTAATCGCAGGAGTGTATCGACTGCATCTTAAAAAATTTACTTAAAATGATGTTGAAATAAGAACTACCTATATAATGATAAGATTTAGTTTAACTTAATTAATAACTTATTGTTGTTCATACCCATAAAGAGATTTTAGTGCCTTATTGTATTATTGATATGCACAAATTAATGTTAAATCATTATTAAATAAAAAGAGAAATAAACAAGATTCTTATAAATACATCATAATTAATATTTTCACAAATAAATGTGTTGTGATATAAAAGAGTTTACAAGGAGATGTAATTTCGATGCTAAATAAATGCGCGAGTCCGGACCATTTATTTTTTATTTTCATTATATTATTATTGTTGAAGTATCAACAATTCTCAGTGGGCATTCTAAGAGCATTCTGGATTTATAGGAAAATGTAGAGCTTTTTTTTGTAATCTTGTGCCTGTAGACATAGTTGATTACAGGTTATATTTTTCGCAATACGTATATCTCTCGCGATCCTTGTATAATATCTGTATATAACAATAAATTTTTTTTGTAATTATAATTGTTTCTGTTTAACTTTAAGAATAATTCGATAATAAAAAAATGGAAGACAAATAAGGTTAAAATCAGAAAACAAATTGACATTCACTAAAATTTGATTATAAAATTAAATTATCAACTCATAATTTTCTACCCTGACATAACAATCCTCTGGATCATTTTCTATCAAAAGTAATCAAAAGTGCTCAATTTTCTGATATTACTTTTATCTAATATACTTTGCAAAACATTCTTTCAAATCGTTGATTTGTGTCTCCTTTAATGCAAGCTCTTCTTTCTCGCATCTGTCAAACATGTATTTGCATTCTACGACTTCATTCCAATTTCTTTCAAATTCTTTTTCAAAATTGTTATCAGCATATGATGTCCTTGGCTTCGATGATTTTTTTTTTCTTCTTGATACGATCCAATTCTTCTTCTGAGATCTCTTCCAAAATTTTATTAAACGATTTGAGAAATTTGAAAATTTTATTACGATTTGAAAATTTTATTAAACGATTTGAGAAATTCGTTAATGTACTGTTCCGCCTGCATGATTGTAAAGCATTTATTTGTATAAATATCAGCAACAAATGTAAAGTTCTAATTCCGTTGTCATTTTTAAGAAAACACCCAGTACTATCTAATTGTTTTTCAAATTCTTGCTTTTCGAATAATGGTAATTTCATTATTAACTAAAATAAATGCGGATTTGATATAATGGCTGAATAAAATTAATCGTAATAATCAAAGATGATATTCAAATTGCATTTAATTTTTAATACAAACAAGTATAAACCGATATTGCTATATATTCAAAATATATAACGTTAATTAGTATCGTTTACAGTTCGATTATCAGTTCGATGACAATTTAATCGATGTGACATCAACTTGATAATAACACCTCATTGTGGAAACTGATGGAAATTCTCCAAAATCAAATCTTTCGAAACTTTTTGACATCCAACAGGTTGCCTAGATTTATAATTATATCAGACATGTATTATGAATACAAAGCCTTACAATCAATTATTCTAAGAAATTTCCATATAGTTTTGGACACATCAGAATTCTCCGTCATGTCTTACAAGCACTGAACGTACAGATGCTCAATAAAGTAATGTGCAAAGAAGACCTTCGAAATAGGTAGTATATTTAGCTAGTATATAGTACAGTGTACTTATCAAGGTATAATGGATGAACTTTAGTATATTCAATAATCTCATGTCCCTGCAAAAAAGTTTGGGTAGGGTAAGACAGTCAATACAATTTCAAAAGATGATACAATTCTGAGCGAAATAAAATTTGAATTCAATTTTTGTTCAAATTCATTTAATTTTTTCCTGTTTAGTACTCTTAATAATTAATGATATAATATAACAATAAATAATAATTAATAAATATCGTTAATTCTAATCATACTTGATATTATTTGTATTTTGATTTGTTAATATACAATCATAATACTAACAAGATAAATTCTCACTCAATATAATATTGCAAGCAAAAAAATAGTGAAACTGAGTACAGCAACTTTGTAAATATGTATGATAATGAAAATATTTCGTCAAAATTGCAATATTTTTGCTTATTATTAGATATGCAAATACAATTCCTAGCAACATGCAAGAAAAAGATTAATTAGATGAACAATATAAAAGATGAACAAATATTTCTACACCATTATGGCAATATAACGGTAAAAAAATTGTTAGCAAACGGATTACACGGATTTGCTTTTGCACAAAGTGTCATCTGAAATTATTGTAATTATGCTTGATAATAATATAAACTGCCAATTATATACTTGACAAGATTCCAAGATTTATTAAATGTATTGTAATAAATTTCAATTTTCATGCTTTTTGAAAATTTTAAACAATTTCCTCGTAACTGTTGGATAGACTCTGATGTGTTGCGCAATAATGTCTAGCAAGAGCTACATATAAATATAACGATATATCTTGAAATTTTTTGTTTATAACTCTTTCTTTGAAAAAAATACTTACTGGTATTTTTTCGCTAAACCCATATATTTTTATTGCAAAATCTTTCTCAGTGGCAATAATCTTATAATCAATCCCATGTTGTAGCTGAATATAATTGGTCCGTCAACAGAAATTTCAATATTTCGCAATATATATTCATAACAATTGTACTGAAATGTTAATATTAAGTATAGTATTTAGTATAGTAGTAATCCAACTATTATATAGTTGTATTATTTTTTAATGTTATTATTTATTATTTCGATGATTGAAGTATCAAAGAAGAAAGTAAGTTTAACATTTCGATAACTTAGTATCCGGGCGATACCAATCCTCCCGATATTCTTTTACTGTATAATTTTAGGGATATTTTGAAACTTCCGCTGAAACTACTATTGAAGTGAAGTTCTTAGGAAGGAATAGATTTGGATATGGAAATAAAACTCTCGCAATTACTTGGATTTCCAGCAATTGATTCATTCCTTTGGTATCTCGATGTTTATGTATGTATCTTGTTTTCGACCATTGTTCGACTTTATTTAATTCTCGAAAGACTCGTCGAAAAACATAATATTCACGATCTCTGGTATAATAATAATTTAAACATTTTATCTTCCGAAAATTACTAAAATGATTGCCAGTTTTCGAATAGTGTTCCATTGAAGTCCGACGGTCCGTGCACTAATGATTAGATTGTTAAGTTGGAAATTGTGCCAGTGAATTATGTAAACTTGTGTATAAAAATGCATTTATATCCATCGTGCCATTATTTAATCGGGAATGAACTGTATTTCGATACATAATATTTCGATATATAACCCAGAAGATATACAAAAATGTTTAAATTATTATTATATCAGAGACCGCAAATATTATGTTTTTCGATGAGGCTTTCGAGAATTAAATAAAATCGAACAATGGTCGAAAATGAAGTACACAGACATCGAGATACCAAAAGAATGGATCAAATGCTGGATAGTCAAGTTATTGCGAGAATTTTATGTACATATTCCTCTGACAATTATTGATTATTGTTATCAAAGAGTATTCCAAAAGGCAAGTGAACAACAAGATTCACGGAACGTTAGCAATAAATTCCGATATGTCGATAATCCGCTTTTTAGTATCTCTAAAGAAAATACCAAAGTATTTTTAAAAGCTCACTATGGTTAAATATAAAAGTAATAGAGAGCATTATGTCTACAAATTCTCCCCAATTCTTTTTTTTTAATATAACATTATTCGACAAAAAAATGCCTTTTTTTCGAGCACCAGAGCAAGATCAGTCATTTTTGTGTGCCTTCCAACAAAAAATACAGTACAGCACAGTACAGATCATCTCATCTTTGTTTAACATTGAAAAATGACAAGGATATAATGTGTCACAACATGTCATCTGTGTCACTTTGAAGAAAGACATATTTTTTTTATAACTTTTGTTAGAAATAATCAGTTGTTAAGAAGAAGACTCTTAATACGAATAGAGAAAGAGAAAGAGAAAGAGAAAGAGAAAGAGAGAGAGAGAGAGAGAGAGAGAGAGAGAGAGAGAGAGAAATGACTTATTGAAAAGTCTTTTTATATCTTGAATATATTTAAATAAATAAAAAATATTATATTCCAAGCATGTCTTTACTTCCTGATTAGCATGATATTATTACAATTATATTTGTATTTATTCTTTATTTGCATTTATGGCATCCTGGAAAAATATATTATACCTATATATGTACATATGTATTTTTTATATAATTATATGTAATTATATATGAAACATTTTTTCCCGGGATGATTTTCATTATTTGTTTATAATCCTTCATTCAAAAAAGATCGGTGCAAAGGATAATTATTGTTAATAATTAAAACTGTCAATATATAATCCTCATAAACTCTTATTTTAATGTGAAAAAATTTGATTAACTTCAAATATTCTATGTTGCAAAATGTTCCAAACTACATTTGTTATTATAATAATACTATCGTGCACGGGAAGAATATAGAAGCAATAAGTAGCAATTTGAGGAACACGCTGCGATTATTGGATTCTTTTTTTTTTCATTTAAAACTAAGAAAGAATTAAATTATTGAAACTAAGGGAGTTATTCTATAATTTTTAATAACTATAATTGTAGCATTACAGTATTGTTTTTTATCATGTACAAAATCTGCAAATAACACTGTAACGCTACGTCGTTAAGAATTACAAAATATTCTCCTTAGTTCACTTGCTGAATTTGAAAGTCATGGTTAAAATAGTCTTAAAATACAATTTTTGAACACGTTTTAATTGAAAAAAAATAACAATTAATTTTATCGAATCATGATAATTTTTCTGTTTTTATAAAAATTATTTCTTTTTTTATTAAAACCGCAATTCATTATTAAAATTCTTACTGCTATATAGATCAGCAAGCAAAACTGAGAAAAAAAGAATTCAAAAATTTCCGCGTGTGCCCTAAATTGCCTAAAAATAAATACATAATTTCTTTAATCATCCAATAAATCAACAAGAATCTCGTAAAAAAATTTTTTTATATAGAATTATATTATAAATTGACATATTTTATATACAATTATATATAATTATATATAAAATACATATCCATATATAAAACATTTTTTTCTGCAACATTATTATTATACAGAATTACAATTTATAATTTTATTATTTTATTATTATTTAAAAACGCCACTTATTCTGCACTCTAAGTTGAGTATCCCTCAATTGCTGGATAAACATAAAGATTTTTTTTGTATTGTCCTATTTTAGTAATATATTTTTCTTCTACTTCACTCTTTCTATACTCTTGATGTTCGTCGATTATGTATTCCAAAGCAATGGATTGCGCTTTGTTGGGATCAGTTCCTATAATATGTACACTCAATTTTTTCATATAATTTTCGTCCCACGTGTACTTATCAAACCATTCTCTTAGGTCGTTTATTTTTATTTTATTTAATGCAAGTATTTCTCTCTCGTGTCTGTCAAACATGTATTGACATTTTATGATCTCATTCCAGTTTCTATTAATTTCTTCTTCAATATTTATATCAGCATGTTGCTTAAGTATTCTTAATCTTTCCTTAACATCATCTAAGTCATTTTCTGAGAATTCATTCAAAAATTTTTTAAAAAATGCTAAAAATCCATCGAGCCACTTGTTAATTTCTTCAGTTGTGTATAATTCATTTATCATTGAATATGTGGCACTAATAGAATATTCTAAAATTCCATCGACATCCGTACAGTCGCATGAAGTATGTTGTATAAAAAAATCTTGATTTTTTAATTGGCATTGCATTGACAACGGTTTTTTCATTATCATCTGAAAACACGTGCGGATGAATATAACTTAGGAACAAAATTAGTCGCAATAGTCGAAGAAGTTACTCGTATTTTATTTACTTTTAAAAATAGATGAATAAACATCTAAGATTTCATACAAAATCATGTTATTTAATACTTACGATCATTAGTCTCATTAACACTGATAACTCAATTGACATGACATCGATTTGATAAGTATTTACCACAACGGAAGTTGGATCATGTTTGTTGATATTTTTCAATTTGCAATAACTTGTGCCCAAGGGTAACTGAAAGACTCTATTCGGTTGTATCATATTAGAACGTAAAGAGTTACATTTAAATGTTTCAACACATTGTTGCATAGACTCTATCGCAGTATCCTGCGTTATATTGCCTTGCACGAGACACTGAATGTATAGACGTTTGACAAAAAATTTTGCAAAATTTTGAAATTCTTCAAAACTGACATTTTGTAGAGCATTGTGCATATCAACGTATGTATAATGGACTAATTTTACTATCCATAATCTCACATCCCTGCAAAAAAGATTAAAAATGTATTCATTATTATCTAATTGACAAAAAATATAACATTTACTAATGTGTTTTACAAAATTAATTCTTTATTTAATATCTATTAATAATTTCTTTCAATTATGTAAAAATTTCATAATATTGTTGCAATTATTTGACAATAAATAGCCAGTACTCAGCGAGTATTTTAGGTTTAGTAAATGCATCGTTATAAATATCAACTTGTTGATCTTTGATCATTTCAAATATTTCCGTCAAAACATTCGAACAGTCCATCAAATACATCATGTTTTTTATTATAGTTAACAACAATATCTGCAATATAAATAAAATAAAAATAATATACTTCGAAACTATGTAACTTTGCTTTGAATACGTACTTACGATCGGCATATGTCCGGATATTTTTGTTATAATTCCTTTCTCACTAACACTGATGTCATAAGTGTACCCACTCTCTATAGCTGGATATAATTCTTCCACTACTAGTAATTTTATCATGTTGCAGTATATTGTCATGAGAGCGGCACTGAAATATTATTAATAAGAGAAGCTTTTTAATAATATTTCAGTGCCGCTCTTTAAAAATTTTATATATTTTTAAAAAAATAAAAGATGCAAATAAAAAATTATGGAAATCGTATTAATAATTCCAAACTTAAAAATTAGTGTACTTAGAGTCAGTAATACTACACATTGTAGTATTATTATAATACGTTATGCTACATTACTTACTTTTCCGGTGACTGAGGTCCTAGAGAGGAAATAAAATGTGTATACATATAAGATCTTGGTAAACGAAACTTGGGATTCGGGCGATACCAAAGCTCTGATATACTGTTACTGTATAATTTTATAGGATATTTTGGAACATTTGCAGGCAATGGTTCTAAAGAATGTTCAATATGAAGATATATATTCTTCTCCGGTAAATAAAAATCTGACAATGGCTCGACGGATTTCCAATGTTCGAGCCATTCGTGTGGTACCTTGATGTCTGTATATCGTGTTTTCGACCATGAATCGAGCTTATCTAATTTTAGATTACCAAAGTCATTGTCGAAAATCATAATATTTGCAGTCTCTGGCGTCAAATAATTCAAAATTTTTGTTATAGCTTCTGGATCATATTCAAAATAAATTTTGTTTCCAGTTATATAATCGCGCGACGGATACGTGTGTAAATTTATACATAAACTCTTCACGTTATCCACTGGATTTTTATCAAAATATCTAAAAAGATCTCCAAATATAAGTGACGTTATATTTTTCACGAAAATTTTATTTTTTCAATTATCATATATCTATTTTCATATATCTATTTATTTCTAAAATTAGTTTACCTAAAAGTATTTCTTGAAATCTCATTAAACTCGTCGTAAATTTTTTTCTGCGGACCTTCCTTCTTTAGCAAATTGATATAGGAAAATATCGCATCTAGAACTTCCTTCACATTCTGTTTTCCTTTCTTGGAGAGATTTATAATAATCTTAATTAAGCTGTACGTGAAAGTATGTATACTGCAACAAATTTCCTCATTGGAAGGAGAAATATTCCACATTTTTTCGCATAGATAACTAATTAGGGAACCTTTTCCTTTATGTCCAATAAACTGTGAGATATATTGATCTGGTTTACTTTTATATAAAGGATATAGCGAAGGCATGGCCCATGTTATTTCTAGCTGCAAAAGTCAAATTACATATTTATGTTTTTACGCATAGTATAAACATAAATTTTTTCTCGACTTGGTTAAATTTTAGTCACATACTTGTCCATGTTTCGAAGAAATTTTATATATTTTTTGAAAAACGGCAGTATCAAAAGGAACATCATTTTTTATTAATTCGGTAGAGTCATCGGGAGATAGTTTGTTAGTTGGTATATTAATAAAACACGTATCAGTTGTGACATATTGTTCCAATGTATTTAGCGGTAATTTTGCCTATAAAAAGGTGTATCATGTTATAAATTTTAAGCTTGTTTTTGAAATAAATAAATTGTATATTGTAAAAGTAATTAATTGTTTGTCGCAATTTTAACAAAATTACCTGTATAACCAGCTTTATTTTGCGAGCACTATAATAGCGCTCTTTGAATTTATGTAACTCTTCATATAATTTCGTGTAATCCAAATTTTCGTGCACTTTCATAATACGATCCTCAAAAATCTTGTTGATTGGATGATTAGTTCGCGTAAAGGAGCAAAGCAGTGGTTGATGAACTTTATTCTTGGCTAAATTTAAAACTGTCTGAAATTCTACATATTTATTCTATAAATACGATATTAAGATTGCAAGTTGCAACAACAATATTATGAGTATAATCTACCTTCTTTTATGTCGTTTCGATTCTGCATAAATACATCTTTTTCTGGTAAAGGGTTAGTGAAAAATTCAGCAAAATTAATGAGAACTGATAAAAAATGTTCTTTTTGAATATCAAAGACGAACGATGTATATTCGTAATGAAGTAAGCAATTGCAATTGCCTTCATATTTCTCGAAAAATTTTTCTAAATCATGTTTCTGCAAGAGAGTAAAAATGATTTAAACAATTTAATATACAAATAAATAAATTTTATATCAAATTTATGTGTATTATATTTTAGTACTTTGCAATATTCGTTAAATTCAGTCAAAAGGATATGCTCGAAAAAAAATGATATGCCTGGAAATTCTGGTGGCTCTTCGAAAAATCCTGTTTTCACACATAAGCAACATGCAACCTATTTAAAAAAATATATTTATGTACGTATCATAATACACGCATAATACACGCTAAATATTAAATGGAGAATAAACACAATTAATGGAACTCATAAATGATTTAAAATTGAATAAAACATATTGAAATTAATTAATAAAAAATTCTTCTACAATTAATAAAGAAAATCAATTTTTCCAAATCAAAACTTTCAATAATACAATTAAATCTTGAAAAAATAGATATCTTTTGTGAGACTCGTCTTTGATATATTACAATTTTAATAAATTTTAATAATAAAGTAAATAAAAAAATTGATGTAAGATATATTCTAAAATGCACATTAAATTATTTCGTTCATACCTTCATTTCATTTTTTATATCTTGATGTTGAGAAGAGCATGAATCTTCATTGGATATTAGCAAAGCTTCTAAACCATTTGGTAATCTGATAGCTCTAAATTTAAAAGACGAAGCAAACAAAATATTCATAAAATAAAACGTCAATGAGAATATTGTGCATATTATTATTTAATAAAATTGAATTTCTGCATTTATCAATAAAACATACATTATAATGTTTCTTCTAAAAAATTATCTTCATAATATTTCTCACGCTTATTTCAATAATTTCGAAATCGTGCATATTGCTGATCGGTATTTCTTTTGTCTCACCTATATTCCTTCTTGTCATTCTCCGATTTGACCGGAGGTTCTAGATATTCAACTTGACAATTCTCATTATTTCCATCCCCTTGCATTATTTCGATCGATATAATACAATCCGATGAAAGAATTCTCAATATTAAGTCGTTTCTGGTAGATGATTTTAATTAGCACTCTAACCGATACGGCTTCTTCTTCCGTTATGCCACTTGCTTTCGAACAGAAGTCGATATACAACTAACTTGTATATATGGTAAGCAAAAGTCATAGATGTTTACTAACTTGTTTACTTACTATTATTCTCACTGGTCTGAGAGCCTAGTGAGCCAGTTAATGTACGGGTCCGTTATTTTTTTTTCTTCCATTTAAATATATTGTTTAAACACAATCTTAAAATATCTTAACTCAATCACTGGGCCTTATTAACGTCTTATTTAAAACGGTTTATTTTAAATAAGAGTCAATTATAAATACCTGCCCAACTGATTGTTTAATTAATTATTATTTCATTGTTGCTAGGCACATGAAAGAGGTCCCACATGTACGACAAGCGCTTGAAATTTGAATCTAATTTTGACCGAACTACTCATCGAGATAAAAAAGTGTACTCCGGTTTAAAGTTACTTTTAATCTAACTACACACGCATCTGATAATAATCAGTTGAAAGAAACAGAGAGCATATTATATTTAAATATAAGGGGCATTTAAACTGTTTAAAACGAGTCCAATTTTGCGAATTTTTTGTGGAAAAACGGATAAAGACAAAGAAATCGGATTTGTTCCATTGCAAAGATAATACTTTGCTCAATTTAACATTACAAATTTATTTAAGAATAATATAAAAGTGAAGTCGCTATTTAAGTTTTTGAATGTCACGTTTTATAAAATGAAATGTTTTATAAATATTGCTGCTCGCACAAGACTAGTCTGAAAGCAAAGTGGCACAACTTTTATGAATTTCAAATATAGATCTTGTGCCTGACACAGCCGTTTTTTAAATATTGCATTTGAATAAAAGCTGGTCAAAGTTAACATAATGATTTTTTTTAATTTTGCTTGTTTTTAGCTGCGAAAAAAACTGCATTGTAGGAAAAAATCCTACGTCAGGAACTAGTTTTCATTATGTAGAAAAAGCATATAAAATTGCAAGTCGATCAAACGAGCTATCTTCAAGATACAATACGTGATGTAAACTGTGAAAAACGCGTTTAAAGTTTTATATTCGGATCATACTTTTCGTTGCTAATGTTTCAACATTTTCAATTGCTCTTCCAGACAAGGCTGTCATCTTATACCCAACCATTCGTATTCTTTAAACTCTGAGGAATGCTATTGAAAAACACATTGAATAAAAAAAGAACATGCGTGAACTTGAACTGTCCTATCGGTGGCTCGTCTACCTGTTATCTTCAATACGCTTGAAGCCTACGCTTGAATCTACTCGTTTATAATTTCATGTAACTTCTTTATTTTTTAAATAAAATAAATAAATCTACAAAAAGGAACATTATATTTCAAATAAAATAATCGATTTTTTTTACCACCTCTAGATGTATGTGGCTCTTAAGGACAAACTTTTAAAGAATCACGCTTAATTTCTTTTTTTTAGAACTATAATACTGTTGTATATTGAATGAGAATCATCGGTAAATTGAGTTAAACTTCTTATCGCTAATTTTTCCTTCTATTCTTAAAAAGAAATAGAAGAATTATATACATGGAGTTCAACTGAAAAAAATAGATTAATTATTAGAGGTTGTCAACTTTAAATAAATTTTTGTAATTATCGAAGAGTTCTGGAAGACCAGAGATAATTACGAATATCAATATTTTTTAACTATTCACATTGTGATTATGAATAATAAATATTTGAAAATAAAGATAAAAAGTTACAAACTGTATAATATTATTAAAAAAATAGAAAAAAAAGAATATATATGATGATTTATTTTAAATATAAAACTCGAAACCCACTCTTAATGAGTGTTGCATTAATTTAAATTACTTATATTGTACATTACTTATTAATGGTCACAAAATCTGATTTCTAAAAGCAAGTGTTTCGCTTGTTTTTTTATGCTCGCCGAATCGTAAAATTTTCTTTTCCAAGAGAATAGAAAGCTGAACAGTTGACTTAAAAAGCAGTTAAATTAAAAAATTTGCTCTTTTTCTAGAAAATATAATATTTAGTATTTCATCAATTTATTTAAAATGCAATTCCTACACAATACCTATGCATACAAAAAAGTAAAATATTTATAGTCTCAGCCGTTCGGTTTATAGAAAAGTCTTACTCAACTGGTATGTGACCTTTATAAAAGAATACGAATTTTAAATCAATTAAATTAAGTATGAAAATTTTGATTACAAGTGAGGAGAGGAAAGAGAAAGAGAGAGAAAAAAAGAGAGCGAGAGACATATTTTATTGAAAACATTTTGTCGTGTTTAGAATATAAATAAAAAATATGAAAAATTACATCTTGAGCAAGTACTTTACATCCTAAGTAGCCTCCTTTATTATCACAGTGTATGTTTTTGTCTAGTTATTACAGTTACTAATATGCTTTCATTATATATCTGTTTATATTTTCTTATTAAAGAAAAGTATCGTTATTATATAAAACTAATAATTTAAATTTTAATGTGAGAAAATTTTATTCTATTAATTTCAAATATTCTGGTTCTGTAGTAAAATGCAAAATTCTATAGCTGTTACAATAATAGCTATTATAATAATAGTTGTTATTGTTCATAACAGCTCATCGAAAAAAATATTGAAGTATAATAAGTGTAATTATAAAAAATGCTCGCATTGATTTAGTGTGTAGTTGCTATGCAAAAAGCTTAAATTTAATCATTAAAAAAAAGCTTCATTATAAGACAATACAAATTATAATTTCATTTTTATTATATTATTAAATCGTTAATGTGTTCTGTGCTCTGAGAGGATTGTTGAACACTTAGTTGGAAATATGAAGAGTTTTTTCTTATAATTTTCTACTTTAGTAATATAATGATATTTAGTTGGCTTGTACTGCTGATGATCGTCATTTATGTATTCTAAATCAACGTATTTTGCTTTTTTGGGAATAGTTCCTACAATATGCAAACTCAATTTTCTGAAATTACTTCCGTTCGATGTGTGGTCTGCAAACCATTCCCTCAGCTTTTTAACATTTATATCCTTTAGAGCAAGTATTTCCTGTTCATGTAAGTTAAATACGTAAGTTTGATACAGGATCTGATACCAATTTCTTTCGTTTTCAATATTGACATCGTCATATGATCTAGATTTCAGGAACATTTCTTTATAAACATCCAATTCCTCTTCTGTGAGTTTTTCCAAATCGTTTTTAAACCATCTCAAAAATTCATCGATCTTCTTATCAACGTATTCAGTTTTGTATTTATGTGCTTGAGTGCAAACAGTAATGGAATATCCTAAAATTCCGTAATAGTTTACAACGTTGACCGTGGCATCAAATTTATCTGCGAGTACCTCGTGTAACTTATCGTCCATTATATACTGAAAATATGTGGAAGTGAATGTGATGTATAGATAAAATTAATCATGATAATCAAAAAGCTTATTCATATTTAATTAACTTTTAAAAATAAATGAATATGCATCAAAGATTCCAAGCATTCAAAATATACAAAATAATGTATGTTATTTAAGGGGATCTCTCCTTAAGTTGTCTATATCACTGACTAAACGCAATAATTTTTGTATAACAACTTTTTTTCTCTTTTACAGATTCAAAAATCCTTTTTCAAGATTAAAATATATGCATTAATACGTACGGATTTATGAGACAAAATTTATGTCGAGAATGAAAAAAAAATGACTCAAATTGAGATTTTCTTTATCATTTCTTACTCCAATATGACATTATCAATATCGAAACAACATTTGCTTGATATAAAAGCTTTGCAACCTGTATTTACGAAATTGTCGTCTACAGACTAGTAGTTTACATAAACAAACAATTCGGAATTCTTAGAATTTGATTTTGAAGTCTAATTAAATCGCTATTATTCTACGAAAATTTATGCATATGTTTGCGTGAAATATTGGTGCAGTAGTATATAACGATATGTCGCATTTTTCGATAAATAGCGATCTCCTCGGAGTTAGCGCTTTAGGATCTCCTTAATACTTACGCTTATCAGACGGATTAATGTAGCTAAATCAATCGCAGTGACACCGGCTTGATAATAATTTTTTATCATGGAAGTTGTATCTAATTTGTTGATATTTTTAATCTTGTAATAACTTATGCCCAATGGTATTTGAGTGCCTCTAAACTGTTGTATCGTATTTGAGTGTAAAGAGCTACAATTAATTGTTTTAATAAATTGCTGTACGATCTTGATCGCAGCAGACGGCGTTATGTTTCCTTGCACGAGACATTGAATGTATAGACGTTCGGTAAAGGATTTTACAAAGTCTTGAAAGTCTTTCAAAGTGATATCCTGTACAGCAGTAAATATATCAATTTGTGAATGATGGATGTGTTTCAGTATCGACAATATCATGTCGCTGCAAACAAGAATAAATATATTATTGATTAACAGAAATGTAACATGATAATTTATTTTATAATATCAATTGTATTTATAATTAATATATTAATCATTTATTTTAGTTATGTAAGAATTTTATAATTGTAATAATGCTTGATAAACAATCAGTACATGATGAAAATCTCAGATTTGCTAACTGAGTCATAATATGTCTGAATTTGTTCAATTTTGATATTTTCAAATATGTCCTTCGTAATAAAGCTTGAACATTGCACCATTCCTTGTGCCAAAGTAGCCGCTACAAGCTGCAAATATAAATATAATGATATATCTTGAAATTGTATTTATAACTCTTCTCTTAAACACTTTGAACGTATACTTACTGGCAGAGTTTCATTAAGACCGCTTATTTTTAATGTAAAACCATTCAGAAGGAATCTGATAACGTATTTAAATCCAATCAGTTCAGCTGGATATAATTTTTCGGTTAATAGCTGTTTCAATAGTCTGCAGTACATACGCATGAGAATTTCACTGAAATGTCATTAATGTTCATATCTTTTTCAATAAGGTGTAAATAATTATACCAAAATCACAATATTAGTAATTATAAGTTAAAAATTGGTATACATATAGTGTCAAGTACAGTAGTATTGTTACATTTTCTATGCTACTTACTTCTTTAATGACTGATATTTTAGAGGGGAAATAAAATAGAAATATATACAACATTTCGGTAAACAAAACTTAGGATTCGAGTGATACCAAATCTCCGACACAGAATTACTGTGTACTTTTATAGGATATTTCTCAATTTGTTCATTTGGTACCTGCATTAGACAAACGTCTTTCTTGGTAAGAAATATATTCGGTGATGGTAAAGAAAATTCTGGTAGTGGCTCAATGACTTTCCAACGTTCGATCCATTTTTTCGGTATCTCAATATCCGTATATGCCGTGTGCCACCATGGTTCAATCTTCTTTAATTCGAAATCATTAAAATTCTTTGAGAAAATCATAATATTCGCCATCTCAGGTACCAAATAATTCAAACATTTTTGTATAACTTTTGCATTATAATTGGAATTAAGCGAGTTTCCAATTATATAAGCCTTCGATGGAAAGAAATGCATATTCTTACTCAAGTGTTTTACAAAAGAGATTGGTTTGTTGTTGTAATTAGTAAATCTAAAAAGAACTTCAAATATAAATAGCGTTCCACAAATGTGTTATTCAATTCTCTTCAATCATCTTAAATACATATATTTATTTTTTAAATTACTTTACCTAAAATTATTTTGTTCATAAATGTCATTGTAAATTGCTTTCTGCGGACCTGTTGCCTTTAGTAAATTGATAAAAGAAAATATTGCATTTAGAACATCTTCCAGATATTTTCGTCCTTCAGAAGTGAGTACTATGGTGAGCTGTATTAAGCCGTACAAAGAGTTTTGTTGACTCTTACAATCAAATATATTGTCTGATGGGCTCCACATTTTTTGTCGTAGATAACTAATTAAGGAACCTTCTCCTTTATATCCAATAATCCTCGGGATATATTGATATGAATTACATTTATAAAAACCGGAGAACGAAGGCAAGGCCCACGTTATTTTTAGCTGCAAAAGAGGAAGTTTATTTTGTGTATTTATTTGAATTTTTATATATTGTATAATCCTAGATTCTTTTTTATTAAATTTTAGTCACATACTTGTGTCAAATGTTCCTCATCATATTTAATTTTATACATTTTTCGGAAAGCGGGAGTATCAAAAGGCAGAGCGTTTTTAAATTTGGAAAAATTATCTGGAGGCATTTTGTTATTTGGTATATCAGCAAAGCATACTTTGACAAATTTTTCCATTGTATTCAATCGAAATCTCGACTATAATAATATGTATCATGTTATGATTTAACTTTATTTTATAAACAAAGGAAATCGTAAAGTCTGTAAGTAATAAATAATTCTCGCGTCGCAATTTTAACGAAGTTACCTGTATTGCTAGCTTCATTCTGTGAGCACAGTAGTGGCGCTCTTTAAATTTATTTAGCACATCGTACAATTTATCGTGATCAATATTATTCCGCAATTTTATTAAATGATCCACAGAAAACTTGTTGGTTGGATGACCAGTTTGTGCGAAGGAGGAAAATAGTTGTTCGTATCTCGACTTGCCAAATAATATCTGAAACTCTATATAAGAATGGCATATTAAGACTGCAAGTTGCGACCACAATTTTAAGATTACGATTTTTATACCGTTTTTTATAGCATTTTGTTTCTCTATAAATACATGTTTCGGCATTATAGGATCCTCAAAAAAAACGCCAAAATTATAGAGAGCTAAAAAAAAGTTGTCTTCTTCGATATCAAAGTAAAATATTGTATGTTCGTGGGTCACATCGATATAAATAGTGCCATTATGGTCTTCAATAAAATCTGCCATAGTAATACCTGATTGCTGTAAATAAGACTTAAGTACTTAAATATACGAATAAATAAATTTTATGGTAAATTTATGTATCTTTTTTTAGCACCTCGGAATATTTCTCGGATTCTTGAGAAAACATATACCCTAAGAAAAATGATATGCCCGGAAATTCTGGCATATCGCTGAAATTTCCTACGTCTATGAATAAGCTACATGCTGCCTGTTTAAAAAAATATAAGAGTATCACATCATGCGCATTACACGCATTGTTAAATAGAGAATTGTATATAATCAACAGAATGACTAAACAGTTCGAAATTGCATCACACAATTCGAAATCAATTTATGAAAACTTTTGTGCAATGCAGTAAATTAAATTTTTCAAATCAAAACTTCTGATAATATACTGCTTAAATCTTAATAAAAATAAATATTTCATATGATTTTAAAGTTTACTGTTAATATTAATTTTAAATATAAATTTTGAATAACAACTAAAAAAATTAGTAAGTCCTAAAATGCAAATAAAATTATCTTGTTTATACCTTTTTTTCTTGAGAAAAGGATGTTATTAAATGTTCATCGGAAATTAGCAAAACTTCTAAACCATTTGGTAATCTGATGGTTCTAAATTTAAAAGACAAACAAACAAAATATTAATAAAATGAGACGTCAATGAGAATATTGTGCATATTATTGATTATTTAAAAAAATTTAATTCCTGCATTTATCAATAAAAAATACATTACAATGTTTCTTCTAAAAAATTATTGTTACAGTATTTCTCATTTATTTCAATCGAAATCATGCATATTGCTGATCGGTATTTCTTTCGTCTCACCTATATTCTTTCTTGTCATTCTCCGATTTGACAGGAGATTCTAGATATTCAACTTGACAATTCTCATTATCTCCACTCTCTTGCATTATTTCGATATAAAAAAATCGATCCGATGAAAGAATCCCCAATATTAAGTCGTTTCTGACAAACAATTTTGATCAGCACTCTAACCGATACAGCTTCTTCTTCCGTTACGTCACTTGCCTTCAAACAAAAGTCAATATACGACTAACTTGTGTATTTTAAGCAAAAGTCATAAATGTTTACTAACTTGTATTTCTCACTGAGAGCCAATGGTCCAGCAAGTCCAGTTAATATATTATGTACGATTTGTTCTTATATTTAATATCGTTTAAATACTATCTTAAAATATCATGAATGAATCACTGAGCCTTATTAAGTGTAGTATTATTTAAAACGGATAATTTAAGATCCGACTATAATTGCCCGCCTATTGATTGTTTAAATAATTATTTCATTGTAGACATACGCCTGAAAGAGATCCCACATGTGCGACAAGCGCTTGAAATTTGAACTTAATTTGATCTAATTACACATCGAAGTAAACAAGCAGCTCGGTTTAAAGCTACCTGAAATCTAGCCATGAACTAAAGAGAGCATACTATGTTTAAGTATAATGAAGTTTAAGAGGCATGTATACTTAGCCTGATCAAAACGAGGCATAATTTTGCGAATTTTTTATGGAAAACCGGATAAAGACAAAGAAATCTGATTTATTTCATTGTAAAAATGATACTTTTCTCTATTTATGTCATTAAAATTTCATTTAAAAACAATTTGAAATGGAGTCGCTATTCAAATTTTCGTACATCATGTTTTATAAAATAGGTGACCATTTCTGCTCGCACAAAACTCGTATGAAAGCAAAATGGTACAAGTTTTATGAAATTGAAACATAGATCTTGTGCTTGACATAGCCGTTTTTTTAAATATTGTATTTGAATAAAATAGCAGCTGTTAATTGCCATAAAAAGGTCAAAGTAACGATTTTCTTTTAATTTTGCTCGTTTTCAGCTACGAAAAAACTAAGCATTGTAGGAAAAAAATCCTATGTCAAGAACTAGTTTTCAATACATAGAAAAAGTGTGTAAAATTGCAAGTCGATCGATCGAATCATCTTCAAGTGGTCATGCGTTTTGAAAATAGTTTGAGAGAAACGCTTTTAAAATTTTACGTTCGGATCATACTTTTCGTGGTTAACGTTCAATCTTTTCAGTTGCTCTTCCAGACAAGGCTTATCTTATACCCAATCAACCATTCGTATTTTTAAATGCAGCTCTGGGGATACTGTTGAAAAACACAATGAATAAAGGAAGAATGTTTTTTGACCTACGTGAATTTGAATTGTTGCTGACGCGTCTATCTGTTGTCTTCAATGCGCTCGAATCTACTTTATAATTTCATATAACTTCTTTATTTTTCGCCGAATAAATCTACAAAAATGTTTTTAGGACATTATACTTCAAATATTTAAAACAATCGATTTTTTTCACTACCTTTAGATGTATATGCCTCCATAAGAACAACTTTTAAAGAATCACACTTAATTTCTTTTTTTTTAGAATTGTAATGCTATATTGAATGAGAATCATCGCTAAATTGAGTTAAACTTCTTATATCGCTAACATTTCCTTCTTAAAAAAAAATAGATAAACTATATGCATAGAGTTTCAACTGAAAAAAATAAACTAACTATTAGAGGTTGTCACTTCAAATAAATTTTTGTAATTATTGAAGAGTTCTGGAAGACCCAGAAATAATTACGAATATCAATAATTTTTAATTATTCATATTGTAATTATAAATAGTAAGTGTTTGAAAATGTATATAAGAAAGAAGATGTATAAGATAGAATTACAAATCTATATAATAGAAAAATTGTAAAAATAGAAAAAAAAGAATATATATGATGTTTATTTAAAGTATAAAACTCAAAACCCACTCTTAATGAATGTTGCATTAATTTAAAATTATTTATATTGTACATTACTTATTAATGATCACAAAATCTGATTTTTAAAAGCAGATGCTCTGCCTTTTTTTTTATGTCAGCTATCGCCGAATCGCAAAATTTTCTTTTCCGAAAGAATAGGAAACTGAGCAGTTGACTTAAAAAGCAGTTAAATTAAAAAATTTCCTCTCTTTCTAGAAAGTAGAATATTTAATATTTCATCAGTTTATTTAAAATGCAATTTCCACACAATATGTATGCATATATAAAAATAAAATATTTGTAGAATCAGTCTTTCAGTTTATAAAAGTCTTGCTCAACTGATGTGCGGCCTTTGTAAAAGAATACGAATTTTAAATCAATTAAGTTAAGTTTGAAAATTTGTGATATGAGTCAGGAGAGGAAAGAGAAAGAAGAGAGAAAAAGAGAGTGAGAGACATATTTTATTGAAAACATTTTGTCGTGTTTAGAATAAAAAATTACATTCTTGAGCAAGTACTTTATTTTTTAACTAATATCCTCCTTTATTGTCACTAGGAATGCACCGGATATCCGGTATCCGATATTATACGGCACTTGTTTACTATCTAATCGGATAGCCAGATATCACTATTATCCGGGAAGATATCCGGTTGAAATATCATTAAATTGTCGATTTTTTCTTATACAAATATTCTAGAAATAAATATTCATGATGCTGCAATATTTTATACATTGTCGCAATCTTTTTCTCTATAGGCTTTTTTTTTAGAAGAAATATTTTCTCGGAACCCGGTCGGATATCCGACTCGAAGAAATTGCCTTCTCGGATATCCTATCGAATGCTGGATATCCGATGATACATTCTGTCCAGGTATCTGATATCCGGTATCCGATAATTTTACGATCCGGTGCATCCCTAATTATCACAGTATATATTTTTGTCTATTACTCTTATTACAGTTACTTATAATATGTTTCCATTATGTATCTGTTTATATGTTTCTGTATTCTTATTATTAAAGAAAAAATATTTATATATCGTTATATATAAAACTAACAATTTCGTTCTATTAACTTCGAATATTCTAGTTCTGTAGCAAAACGCAAAAATTCTATAGCTGTTACAATAATAGCTATTATAACTTCGAATATTCTAGTTCTGTAGCAAAACGCAAAAATTCTATAGCTGTTACAATAATAGCTATTATAATAATAACTATTATTCATAACGACTTATCGAAAGAATATAGAAGTATGATGAACGTTGCAAAAGATGTTTGCATTGGTTTTTTGTGTAGTCCTATGAGAGGATAAAAAGCTTAAATTTAATTATTTAACCGTTAAAGAAAAACTTCATTATCATAAGACAATAAAAGTTTTCATTTCATTTTATTATATTATTAAATCGTTAATGTGTCATTTATTCTGTGCTCTAAGAGGATTTGTTGGAATGCTTAATTGAAAATATGAAAAGTTTTTTCTTATAATCTTCTACTTTAGTAATATAATGATATTTATTTGACTTGTACTGCTGATCGTCATTCACGTATTCTAAATGAACGTATTTCATTTTTTTGGGAATAACTCCCACAATATGTAAACTCAATTTTCTGAAATTACTTCCATTCAATGTGTGATCTGCAAGCCATTCTCTCAGCTTATTAACATTTATTTTCTTTAGAGCAAGTATTTCCTGTTCGTGTAAATCAAACATATAAGTACACGTTATGATCTCTTTCCAGTTTCTTTCAGCTTCTTCTTCAAGATTGGCATTGTCATATAATCTAGATTTTAGGAACATTTCTTTGTAAACATCTAATTCCTCTTCTGTGAGCTCTTCCATAATGTTTTTAAACCATCTCAAAAATTCATCGATTTTCTTATCAAAGTATTCAGTTGTGCCTTGATATGCTTGGGCGCAAATAGTAATAACATATCCTAAAATTCCGTTAACGTTACTAAACTTGATCTTGGTATATATAAACTTATGAAGTAGATCCTCGTGTAACTTATTGTTCATTATATACTGAAAACAAGTGCAAGTAAATATGATGTGCAAGTACAATTAATCGTGATAATCAAAGATCTTACTCATATTTCCTTAATTTTTAAAAATAAATGAATATACATTAAAGATTCCATACATTCAAAATATACAAAACAATATATATTATTTAAGAGAATCTTTAAGTTATCTACATCACCGACTAAATGCAATATTTGTATAATAATTACATTTTTCTCTTTTATAGATTTAAAAATCTTTTCTCAGGATTAAAGTACGCATTAATATGTGCGTGTCTGTGTGATAGAGTTTATGCCGAGAACAAAAAAATGACTTAAATTGAGATCATTATTATTTCTCACCCCAATATAATATTATTAAAAAATGACTTAAATTGAGATCATTATTATTTCTCACCCCAATATAATATTATCAATATCGAAACAATTTGCTTGATATAGAATCTGTACTTACGAAATTGTCATCTACAGACTGTAGATGTACTGTAGATGTAGGTAGTTTACATAAACAAATGACGCGAAATTCTTAGAATTTCAATTAGAAGTCTAATTAAAACATAATTATTCTACGAAAATTTATGTATATGTGTGTGAGTGATATATTGGTGCAGTAGTATATAAAAATGTGTCGATGTGTCGCATTTTTCGATAAATAGCGATCTCCTCGAAGTTAGCGTTTCACTTTAAGATCCCCTTAATACTTACGCTTATCAGACGAATTAATGTCGATAATTCAATCGTGGTGATGCCGGCTTGATAATAATTTGATATTATGGAAATTGTATCATGTTTGACGATATTTTTAATTTTGTAATAGCTTATGCCCAAAGGTATCTGAGTGCATCTAAACTGTTGTATTGTATTTGAATGTAAAGAGCTACAATTAATTGTTTTAATAAATTTCTGTACGATCTTGATCGCAACAGTCGACGTTATGTTTCCTTGCACGAGACATTGAATGTATAGACGTTCGGTAAAGGATTTTACAAAGTCTTGAAAGTCTTTCAAAGTGATATTCTGTATAATAGTATACATATCAATTAGTGAATGATGGTCGAGTTTCAGTATCGATAATGTCATGTCTCTGCAAGCAAGAGTAAAGATATAATTGATTAGCAGAAATGTAACGTGATATAATTTATTTTATGATCATATTTTATGATCATTTTATGATCATTTTATTTTATGATATCAATTGTTACAATTAATATGTTAATTATTTATTTTAATCATGTAAGAATTTTGTAATTGTTGTAATAATGCCTGATATAATAAATAATCAGTAGTCAATACTCGATGAACATTTTAGGTGCGCTAATTGAGTTCAGATATATCAGCGTTAGTTGAATTTTGACATTTTCAAATATATCCTTTGTAATTAAGCTTGAATATTGCTTCATGCTTTGTGCATAAATAGCCGCTACAAGCTACAAATATAAATATAATGATATATTTTGAAATTATATTTACAACTCCAAAGCACACTTTGAACGTTTACTTACTGGCAGAGTTTCATTAAAACCGCTTATTTTTAATGTAAAACCATTGTGAAGGATGTTGACAGTATGTGTAAACCCAGCCAGTAAAGATGGATATAATTGATCGACTAATAGCTGTCGCCATAGTTTGCAGTACATACGCATGAGAATTTCACTAAAATATCATTAATATTCACGTCTTTTTCGATAAGATGTAAATAATTATATAAAAATTATAATATTAGTAATCATAAGTTAAAAATTGGTATACATATAATATCAAGTAGTAACTACAATTATTGCATGGTTACATTTCCTGTGCTACTTACTTCTTCAACGATTCAAATTTCAGAGGTGAAATAAAATAGAAATGTATACAACATTTCAAACAAAACTTAGGATTCGAGTGATACCAAATCTCCGACATAGGATTACAGTATAATTTTATAGGATGTTTCTGAATTTGTTCATTTGGTACCTGTATTAGACAAAGGTTCTTGGTAAGAAATATATTCGGTGATGGTAAAGAAAATTCTGGTAGTGGCTCAATGACTTTCCAACGTTCGATCCATTTTTTCGGTATCTCAATATCCGTATATGCCGTGTGCCACCATGGATCAACCTTCTTTAATTCGAAATCATTAAAATTCTTTGAGAAAATCATAATATTCGCCATTTCAGGTACCAAATAATTCAAACATTTTTGTATAACTTTTGCATTATAATTGGAATTATGCGAGTTTCCAATTATATAAGCCTTCGATGGAAAGAAATGCATATTCTTACTCAAGTATTTTACAAAAGAGATTGGTTTGTTGTTGTAATTAGTAAATCTAAAAAGATTTTCAAGTGATGTTCCACAAATATGTTGTTAACCTTTCTCTTCAATCTTCTTAAATACATATTTATTTCTAAAATTACTTTACCTATAAATAATTTTTTTACTCTCATACATGTCATTGTAAATTGCTTCCTGTGGACCCGCTCTCTTTAGTAAATTGATAAAAGAAAATATCGCATCTAGAACATCTTCCAGATGTTTTTGTCCTTTAGAATTGAGTACTATGGTGAGCTGTATTAAGCTGTACAAAGAGTTTTGTTGAATCTCACAATAATTCATTTTCTCGTCTGATGTAGGACTCCATATCTTTTGGGATAGATAATTAATTAAGGAACCTTTTCCTTTATATTCAAGAATCCACGGTATATATAGATATGAATTACATTTATAAAAATCAGATAACGAAGGCAAGGCCCACGTTATTTTTAGCTGCAAAAGAGAAATTTTTTGTATATTTTGTATTTTTATGTTGTATAAACCTAGGTTCTTTTACATCTGTTCAAATTTTAGTCACATACTCGTGTCAAATATTCCGAATCACTAACTTTATACATTTTTCGGAAAGCAGGAGTATCAAAAGGGAAATCGTTTTTAAATTTGGAAAAATTATCTGGAGGTATGCTGTTATTTGACACACCAGCAAAGCACGCTGTGACAAATTTTTCCATTGTATCCAACGGTAGTCCCGACTATAAAAAGATGTATCATGTTATGATTTAACTTTATTTTATAAACAAAGGAAATCGTAAAGTCTGTAAGTAATAAATAATTCTCGCGTCGCAATTTTAATCACGAAGTTACCTGTATTGCTAGCTTCATTCTGTGAGCGCTGTAATAGCGCTTTTTAAATTTGACCAGCACATTGTACAATTTGTCGTGATCTATATTATCGTGCAATTTTATTAAATGGTCCACAGAAAACTTGTTGACTGGATGACCAGTTTTTGCGAAGGAGGAAAATAGTTGATCGTATTTGTTCTTGCTTTTATATAAGCTTTTCTGAAACTCTATATAAGCATAGTATGTCAAGATTGCAAGTTGCGACAACAATGTTTAAATTATGATTTATAATACCGTTTTGTATGTCAAATAGGTTTTTCATAAATATATGTTTCGATACTATAGGATTAATAAAAAAAAGACCAAAACTGCGGAGAGTTAAAAACAAACTGTTTTCTTCGATATCAAAGTAAAATATTGTATGCTCATTGTTTACTGAGACATCATTAATGCCATTATGGTAATGAATAAAATCTTCCAAAGTACATTGCTGCAAATAAAACGATACTTAAATACTTAAATATATGAATAAATAAATTTATTGTAAATTTATGTATCATATTTTAATACCTCTGAACATTTTTCGGGATCTTGAAAAAGCATATAGCTTAAGAAGTATGATATGCCCGGAAATTCTGCTGGATCACTGAAATTTCCTACATTCATGCATAAACTACACGCTGCCTGTTTAAAAAAAAAAAAGAATAAATACATCACGCGCATTACACGCAGTATTAAATGGGGAAAATTGAATATAATCCGCAGAATGACTAAACAGTTTGAAATTGTATCACACATTTCGAAATCAATTTATGGAAACTTTTCTGTAGTGCAGAAGATTAAATTTTTCAAATCAAAACTTTACTGTCATCATAATCATAATATACTGCTTAAATCTTGAAAATAGATATCTCTTATGGTTTTAAAGTTTATTATTAATATTAATTTTAAATATAAATTTTGAATAACAACTAAAAAAATTAGTAAGTCTTAAAATATCTATATATATAAAATCTTATTTATACCTTCTTTTCTTGAGAAAAGGATGTTATTAAATGTTCATCGGAAATTAGCAAAACTTCTAAACCATTTGGTAATCTGATGGTTCTAAAGTTTAAACATAAAACAAACAATAATAGAATGAGAAGTTAGTAAGAATATTGTATACTTTGTCGATCGTTTAACAAATCTAAATATATTGTAATATATTTCTAAATATATTTCTTTCAAAAGATTACTATTATTATCATATTATTTCTCATGTTTAATGCAATCGAAATCGTGCTTCTTGCTGAGTATTTGCTCGCGTTTTACCTATATTCCTTGTTGTCGTTCTCCTCTTTGTCGACTGGATCCAAATGTACATTTTGTCGAGTCTTTGCATTCCAACTCTTCTCTGACCTCTTCATTATGTCACCGTGCAGAAAATTAGAATCGGAATTATGTCAATTTGTAAAATACAACCTGATCCGGAAAAGCCCAATTTTAAGTTCTTTTCAACTTCCTTTTCAGTAGACCTGACACCATTTCAATTAGCACATTAACTGAAAGATCTTCTTTCTTTGCACATATTTTCGAATAAAGGTCAATACGGCTAATGTCTAACGTATATTATACGTAGAGGTTTTAAATGTTTATTTATTTGTATTGTTCACATAGTGATCTAGAAGGTTGATATTCATAATCCATTTGAATTTAAAACTTAAGTCTTAAATTGTTATATAAGTCTTATATTATTATAAAACATTCTTATATATATTGCATTTAAAAATATTATTAATTATTAGCATTTGCAGCCTTGTTAGCATTTTTAAATATTGCTAATTAAAATAAGAATTATTAATTGAAATAAGAAACTGGCTATGAATATCGGTTTATCTTATTATTGTTTATTTCCCCATCAGCAGACAATATTTTTAAAAATAATGGATTAAGTCCCCTTCTTTAGATTAAAAAAATCTTTATTGTAATATTTGAATAAACATTTTTTTAACATTTAAGAAACGTTCATTTAAAGTTTAAAAACATTTCTTTAACGTTAAAAAATGTTTTTTAATGTTAAAATTATTTAAACAAAATTAGAAAAAATAATAATTTTGAATCTTTTTTTTAATTTATGTTTTTTTTATCAACAATGTTTAAAAATCTTAGACGACTAATTTTATTAATTAATTTCTGAATTTAATTATATTTTAATCTTTTTCACTTATCGGCCGGGTTTTTATGACTTGGGATCTCAGGGTGAGTCTCATATTTTATCCGTCATGACACTTGTAACTATCGGTGCACATAGTTCTTTTATTGGCATACGTATGATATATTTAACGCAATTATATTATGTTAACTTCTCTTCCATGATTATTTTATTATTCCGATTCGTTTTTTATTAATTTGAGCTTTAGAAAATAATATTTTGTATAAATATCAGATAAATAAATATTTTTTAATCATATTTTAAATAAATAAATAACAAAAAACAAACATTTATTAAACATCATATAAACGTTTAAAAAAGATTTAATAAATGTTAAATAATTCTTTAAACCATTATTTCAAATAAATAGTTAATGTGAAATGAATGTTTACTAAACATTAAATAAATATGAAATAAATGTTTCTTATCACCACGTTTTAAATAAATAAATAATGTAAAAGAAACATTTTATAATCGTTAAACAAACATTAAAAAATATTTCTTTAAACCTTTATTTCAAATGAATAATTAATTTTAAATAAATATTTAATAAACATTAAATAAAAAATGTTTTTTCTAAACTATTATTACAAATAAATATTTAATGTTAAATAAACATTTAATAAACGTTAGATAAACATTTAAAAAATATTTTTTCAAACCATTATTTCAAATAAAAAATTATAATGTTTAATAAACATTAAATAAATATTAAATTAATGAATTAATGAAAATGAATCATGAAAAATATAAAATTAATGAGAAATAAACGTTTATAAAACATTTAAAAAACATTGTCTGCTGATTGGATTATTATTAGCGTAATGGATCGCATATGTATGAAATTTCTTTTATAGACTTTCCACAATAAGCCAATACCTAAACTTTGATCAATCATAGTCGATTATTCTTTTCTTCGATTGCAATTGGTTAATTTCTTACAGATTAAGACTTGATGCTTAGGTAATGGTTTATCGTAAAAAGCCTATAAAAGAGAATCCATACGTGTGTGATTTAGCAACTTTTTTTTTTATTAGCAACTTGAGCCAATTCATTTGAATTGCTCGTCAAGATGAAAAAATGTAGTTTAAAACTAACCGAGTCGTTGCTGAACGAAATAGAAAGCAATTTAAATATGAGAAAATAGAGAGCACATACAATTTAAAAATTTCCGCATATTTTCTTCTTAATTCAAAAATGTTAATAAAAGCTGTAGCCAAAGTCTTGCTTTAAAGCATTTGCAGCATCGCGTTGACCGTAGACAGTCAATATTAACGATATATAAATTTAAATTAGAACTGTGCGTTTATGCATAAAATATAATAATCTATATCTACATGCTAATGTGCAATGTACACATGTAAAAGTATGTAGATTTCTTATATATTTTAATTATTTTTTATATAAATACAGTAATTTATGATCCAAATTAACTATCGTTGCAGAGAAGAATGTATTATATATAAAGCTTTTTCCTGTTCATATATTTTTATTTATCGATTCTAAAGTTAGATATTAGCAGTTATAAAACTTTTAGTTACGTGCAAAAGATTCGTCTTGCTCGGAGATAATTCAAGAACGTCCATATTATCAACTATTGGTATAAATTTATGATCGTTAATATAAATTGTATATATATGTATATTTTTGTTAAATTAATAATTTTTGTATCGAAAAAGGTAGCAAAGAGAAGCAATCAACTAATTAATATAAAACAATTATATGTCAGTGTTTAAAAACTGTTAATATAAATGTTCCTTTATATAAATATTTACTAATGTTATTTTATATTTTATGTTTTTCCTTAAAATTTCTTCCGGAATAATAACGGATCTTTTCTTTTTCACGATTGCGATTTTATAGCTGTTACCAAATCCAGATAATGTCCATGATTTTGTGGTTCTGTTCTGTACTATTAGACGAGTTCGACAAAGGCACAATCAGACTTTGATTCATCTTTATCTAATTTCATGAAATAAGCATGGAACAGAACCACAAGATCGTGGATATTACCTACGAAATATAATGGTAAAAGCATGGTCATGATCGCTCTCAGACTTCTCTTTGATAACAATATATAGCTCGAATCAATCGTTAAGCGGCGACGCCGATCGATCTCGCGTTCGCATGCAGTGCATCAGATCAGATATTACCAGCGACCAGCGGTCGCCTAGTTCCATCTAGTCCGGTCGATCCACATTGCCCGACCTACGTCTCGACTGGTCTCAGTCACGTACCTGCTGATCGGTCGCGTCTCGTGGCGGCGTGTTATCGAGTTTGCGCGGTTTATCACGCACATCTCTACTTGTCCTCTCTTCCTCGTTCCTCCTCTACTCCCACTATTTCCTTCTCTCTCGCTCCGATCCATTCTTCGTTTTTCGTGGATGCTTTTCTGGATTCTCGCGGGTAGGGCGCGGACGCACGCGAGCGCATACGGGTGCAAGCAAGTAGCGTGGCAAGGCGGTAAGGGCAGGGCGCGCGCCGAGGACAACGTAGCCGAGCGAGGGCAGCGTGAGAGGCGACCAGTCAAGATAAAGCGCAAGCGAGAGCTAAGAACTGAGTGGAGGCGCGCGCGTGCGACGTCGTGTCGTGGCGCGCGAGAGGGCTGTGCTGAGACGACGCGCGAGAATAGCCAACACGGAGTAGCGTGACTTGAGAGCTCCGGAGAGCTCTATATCAGTATATGCGACATGGAGACCCTCGAATCGAGCCGCGTTTGCCGCCTCTGCGGTCAGCACTCGGGCATCTCTATCAACATCTTCGACGAGACCGAGAATCACATTCGCAAAATCAACGCTGTGCTGCCGATCATGGTACGTCATTATACGCTTTCTCTCTTTCTCTCTCTCTCTCTCTCTCTCTCTCTCTCTCTCTCTCGTTCTCTCGCTCTCTCATTTTTCCTCTCTCCCTTGTGCTCTTTCCCGTTTAAGCGCGAGCCTCACACACATACATTTGTTCCTTCTTTCGCGCCCTCACTCCTTCTCCTTTTCCTTCTCTAGCGCTTGATCCCCTTTTACGACTTCCCTCTCCATCCGGAGGGTACGCGCCCGCGTGCTCTGCTCCTATATGCACTCTCATCGTCCTTGTAAAACGCACCCTTCTCCCTCCCTTCTATTTGCCACCTTGTTACGAAACGCGTGGTCCATTCTCTTTATCAGCTGCGCTGTACGTGACTTTACGCGCGCTTTTTTCCGATCCTTCCCCTTCACCTTTTCCGCTTTTCGACGCTCCAATTTTTGTCTGTAACACCTGTTTCTATAACGAAAAGAAAAGAACTTCCTCATTCGCATGTCGTGTTGGCAAAGGAGAATAGAATACCGCTATTTTCGTGGAGGGGAGAGAAGAGTCGGACGGGGATATTCTTTGTGCGGGCGGAGCATACGTCATCGACCACGTGCGAAAAACATCGTGGTCAGCGGGCTTCGCCACGAGGACGAATCTCTTCTTTCTTTTTTTTTTTTGCAAAATCATCTATTTGCAAAAAGTGAGGTTATTGCCGTTTTTGCGCGCGAAATGAATGTATTCCAAAATGTCGAGAGCGCGGATTACATTGCAATTCAAAGCGCGAGAGAAGGAGAGGCTTGAAATGGATTTCATAAGTTTCTTGTGATATTCATCGCGGTGATTTTTTGGCGCAGATTTTCGCATTAATAATCTTTTGGATTATTTATGTTTAGCATTTTGAAATTTCTTATTTTTATAGCACTCTTCTATTTTTCTATTTTTTAATGTCGATTCAGTTTTTTTTCTCTTCTTTTGATGCGATAGAAGTGAAAATATAAACATCTTGCGAAAATTATAGAATATTTGAAATAAGCATAATTAATGCATTTATCATATTAATCTTTTGTAGAAAATTAATTCTGGAAGGTGATTGTAATTACTTAAACATTGTTGAATAATGTTTTAAATACTCAATAAAATTTTAATGCTCAAAATAAGTAATTAATCGCTACTTTTTAGTATTAAATCGGATGTCTGTAAGAAATATATATGTATAAATATAAATGAATATATATTGTCAACACCACAAATATATTCAATAGAATATATGTTTAAATCATTTTAACATTTTTTTAAAATCAATCCAAGAGAATTTTTTTTCTGGGAATTGTTAAATGACTTAATAATTTTGTAAGAAGTAAATCTTATATTAATTGTAATAAATGTGAAAGTAATAAGAATAGTAATAATTGATAATAGTCTGTAGTAATA